GCTGGTCGTTGACGACTACTCGCGTTACACCACAGTCTTCCCCTTGCGCAGCAAGGGTGAGGTCACTGAGGTGTTGATCGACTGGATCCGCGGTGCCCGTCGCCAGCTCAGTGAGCGTTTCAGCTCGGACCTTCCTGTTCTGCGTCTGCACTCAGACAGAGGTGGTGAGTTTTCCTCCGACCTTCTGAGGGCCTTCTGTCGTGCGGAGGGCATCCGCCAGACGTTCACGCTTCCGGCCTCCCCATAGCAAAATGGGATTGCTGAGCGCCGCATTGGCATGGTCATGGACATCGCTCGTACGTCCATGATCCATGCGGCTGCTCCCCATTTTCTGTGGCCGTTCGCGGTTCAGTACGCTGCGCATCAGATCAACCTTCAGCCTCGTGTCTCCTTGCCGGAGACCACACCTACTCTGCGGTGGACGGGTAAGGTTGGCGATGCGTCTGCGTTCCGTGTCTGGGGATCTCGAGCTTTTGTCCGCGATACTTCAGCGGACAAGCTGTCCTCCCATGCCGTTCCCTGCGTCTTCCTTGGCTTCCCCCCTGACGCACCCGGGTGGCAGTTCTACCACCCCACCTCGCGTCATGTTCTGTCCTCTCAGGACGTCACGTTTGACGAGTCGGTGTCTTACTACCGTCTCTTTCCCTACCGCACTGCCTCTCTCCCCCCCCCCCCGCCACTCTTCCTAGCACCAGGTACTCCTCCGGTAGACCCCCTCCCCCCTCAGGGTCCTGCCCCCTCAGGTGTGTCCCAGGTAGACCCTACCGAGCCGGTCGAGGTAGCTGTCGACTCAGGTGCTGCTAGGGGTGCTGAGCCTGCGGGTGCGGGGACTGGGGGTGCTGAGCCTGGGGTTTCTGTGTCTGAGGGTGCGGAGCCTGGGGGTGCCGAGCCTGAGCGTGTGGAGCCTGGGGGTGCTGAGTCTGGGAGTGCTGAGCCTGGGGGTGCTGAGCCTGAGCGTGTGGAGCCTTGGGGTGCTGAGCCTGGGGGTACTGCGTCTGGGGGTGCTGAGCCTGAGCGTGCTGAGTCTGGAGGTCCTCCGGGTGTCCCGTCGCGACGGGAGCCCCTCTCTCCGCAGCAGCTTCGTGAGTGGTACACTCGGCGCTGTTGCGGTGCTGCTGGTGCTGCTGGTGCTGGAGGTGCTGCTGGAGCTGCTGGAGGTGCTGCTTGTGATGGAGCTGCTAGAGGTGCTTCTGGAGCTGCTGGAGGTGCTTCTGGTGCTGGAGCTGCTGGAGGTGCTGCTAGAGGTACTGGTGCTGTTGGAGGTCCTGCTGGTGTTGGAGCCGCTGGAGGTGCTGGAGCAGCTAGTCCTGGAGGTGCTCGTACTGGAGGTACTGGAGCTGCTGGGGCTGGTGGTGCTGCCGGAGTTGGAGCTGCAGGTGCTGGAGCTGTTGCTACTGGAGTTGTAGCTGGAGACCCTGGAGCTGAGGGTAGTGGTGCTGTCTCTGCTATTTCTGGAGGCGCTGCGTGGCCGCGGCCGTACTACGTTCCGCTCCTTCAGCAGGTTCTTGGTCTCCCGCCTTCTACTGGTCCACTGCTGATGTTTTCACCAAGGCACTTCAGCCTTGTGATCATCAGCGTTTCTGTACTGTTCTAGGCCTTGTACCTACTGTGCCTCACTTGCTTACTTCTTGACTCTGCTTGTACTGTACTCTCTATACCTATACCTGCATGATTACACTTGCTAGGTTGTGTTCACTGTATTGTTTGTTCTCCTTTATATAACTCTGCATGTAAACTGGCCTTGTGGCCATTTGCTTGTGCTCAGACTGCGTGGTGACTTTGTGATCCACCCTGAGCTTGCTTTGCCTTTCTTGACTGGTCTTGTGACCACTTGTTCTCCCCCACTTTGCCTATGGGGGTGTGTCAAACTTATATGTTATAGTCTATCTAGGCTATAGTGGGGTAGTTCATATAGGGTACAACACTTTTAGGTTTCCTACTTGTACCCACCTGCTTGCTAGTTCATTCATTCATTCGTTCACTATTCTAACAGTCCACTCGAAGGAAACAGTAGCAGCACGTGATGTCATTTTCTACGAACGACTCTCCCTTCAAACGTACCTGGACAACCTGGCAGCAGATCGAGACCTCACTGGTGGCTTCCGTGGCAACCGAGCCTTCGCCACACCAGCTGACGAAGCTGACTGGGATGAGCAAAATGTGGACGGCGCATCCGAGGAAGCAGGACCACTCCCATACTGCTCCGTGCCCATCCCGATGGATAACGAAACCCTCGCGAAAGTATCAATGCCGAAGCCTACTACGACTTCGCCGACAACGGTTACGTTACACCCCAACCGGCCGACACCAATGTCTCCGAACACATAGGGCCCAACTTCTTAGCCAATCCAGAAGCGGGAGATGAAGCAGCTTATCCCGAGGACGCAAATCTCCCCCGCTACACACAAAATGGACTGCAGATGCTGGGACTCGTCACCGCTGTCCACGGAGCGGCACCACCTAAAGAGCCTGCCACTTTTCAGCAGGCTCTAGGTGGGGAACACAGGGAAAAATGGCACGACCATGGACAGAGAATTAAAGGCGCTGCAAGAACGCAACACCTGGAAGGTCGTGCCTATCGGAGTGGCACGCAACAAGACCATTCTCACGGGAAAATGGGTTTTCCGCGTGAAAACGAAAGCTGACGGAACGATAGACAAACTCATGGCACGTTGGGTCGTGCGCGGCTTCGACCAAGAACACGGACGAGACTACAACGAAACATTCGCACCAGTTAGCCGACACACCTCACTGCGGATTCTCCTCGCGATAGCCGCCATGAATCGGAAGAAACTCCGACAAATCGTCGTTGCCAACGCCTTCCTCTACGCCCCTGTCGACGCTGAGATCTTTGTCGAACAACCACACGGATCTAACGCAGACCCCAATCAAGTCTGTCAGCTGCAAAAATCACTGTACGGCATCAAACAAGCCCCGAGACTGTGGCAGAAGCATCTTCACGCTCGATTAATCCGCATTGGATTCTGCCAACTACCGCATGACCAAGGAATGTACCGACTCACTAAAGGGACCGACTACATCCTGCTCATCGTCTATGTAGACGATCTCCTCTACATAGGCTCCACTGACGGCATAACAACTTGGTTTGAAGGGGAGCTACAGCGGGATCTCACGCTCACCGTCTCATCTACCGTGACACAGTACCTGGGACTCAATATACAAGACGGGGAAAACACAATCTACCTCAGCGCCGCAAAATACACAGACACCATCGCCAAACGATTCGGACTAACTCCAGCTGCCATCACCACGCCATATCGTTACACCGACGGAAATCGCAAGGAAGTCTCCGCCCTACTCAAACCCGCCGGCATTCGCGACTACCAACGAATGCTAGGCTGTCTACTCTTCGCAGCCGTTACCTGCCGACCGGACCTATCCTACTCAGCTAGTCAACTCGCCACCTACCTCAAGAAGCCTGAAGCAGATCACATGACGGAGCTCGACCGTGCACTTCACTACCTCGTCAGCACCCCGACGATCGGTCTAACCTACCACAAGACCGGAACTACGACACCTAAATTAATCGGCTACGTCGACGCCGATCACGCCAGAGACTCTGACAACAGGCGATCTCGTACTGGCTACATCTACCGACTCGAACCTATCGGCCCTATCTCATGGCAGTCGAGCAAACAAGAGCTAATTGCTCTGTCCTCAGCTGAAGAAGAATATATCGCACTCTGCTCAGCCACCAAGGAAGGATTGTACCTTCGCGAACTACTGGAAGAAACGAAGCTGACTAAGTTACCCAGCTTCTCCCTGTTCTGCGACAATCAATCGGCCATTCGGATAGCGAACAAGAACGGGTTCGCGAATCGAACGAAACACTTCGCCCTCCGGTACTTCTTCGTAAAAGATGAAATCGAGAAGGGAAGACCTGAGTTATCCTACTCTCCCACATCCGAGATGGCAGCCGATTACTTGACCAAGAAACTCGGAAAGCAGAAGTTCGAGTACTGCATGCTGCTGACTGGACAAGACCACGTCGTCAGCAGCGACAGTCCAGAAGCGAAGGGGAGTGTTGGAAACAAGCAATTTAACGCTTCTGAAGTATCGAAGTAATAACACGAAACGAAGCAGACTACAGTGAAGCAATACGCGAGTCAACAAAATTAACAGCTGGAGGTTACGAGAAGGTCAAAGGTCGCTGACCTTTGACTCGACGAAATACAGCGCGACAGCAAGGACAAACAAATGACTCGATACTGAGCAGTTGCCCGAGTCGTCACTGTATCGAACCGCAAAAGCAAAAACAGTTAGGTGCACCTTTTCGTATTCCTTGTAACCTTATAAAAGCCTTTGTATTACCTTACTATAATCAATTCATCTTGCTCTCACACACTAGTGCAAGGTAGTTCAACAGCTCAACAAGGTTTACTACACGCTTCCGCAGTTACAACATTCCTACTCAAGATCTTAGCCTTGAAAAGATGTAAGGGCTTTTCTCAGCCCAACACAGCTCACCGGTTAAACACCACCGATGCAAAAGAGGGGGGGGTCTTATAATGAATTGGGTCAAAAGGCGGGTCCTCTCCAGGACTTACATAATAAAAGACCCCTGGTCCAGATAGAAGACCCACTTGGCTTTTATGTGGGGGGGTCTTGTAACCGGGAGATCACGGTATGTATGCAAGTCAATTATGAGTTACACCTCATGCAACGTAACTGTGAGGCACATTATGCATGGGTGAGAAGTGGTGAGCTACCACGTGCTCGCTCACCGCCAGCCGACCCATGACTGCCCATACGCCCGTGCCTTGCAAATCGGTGCACTAGCGAGCAGCAACGTGCCTTGCCACCCGTGCACTAGCAAGCAGCAACGTGCCTTGCCACCCGTGCACTAGCAAGCAGCAACGTGCCTTGCCACCCGTGCACTAGCAAGCAGCAACGTGCCTTGCCACCCGTGCACTAGCAAGCAGCAACGTGCCTTGCCACCCGTGCACTAGCAAGCAGCAACGTGCCTTGCCACCCGTGCATTAGCGAGGCTGCCTTGCGGTGCTGCGCGCAGTGGTGGTGGCAGCAGCGGCGGAGGCAGTGGTGGTGGAGGTGGGGGGGGCAGCAGCAGCCAGAGCAGCCTCGTTGTGTTGCTGCTGCTGCCGCGCCCTCACGCCCTCCACCTGCTGCTGCTGCTGCTGCCGCCCCCCGCCCCCTGCCCGCTTGATGAGCCCCATAAACAGCCTCCTGCGCCGGCTGCGTGCCGCCACCCACCTGCCACGCACGGGGGAGACGAGGAGGGGTGAGGAGGGGAGGGACGAGGAGGGGGGGCGAGGAGGGGCGGCGAGGAGGGGGGGTGGGGAGGGAAGGGAGGAGGGGGGTGAGGGAAGGTGATGCTGGGAGGGTGGTGAAGGCACCCTGAGTGCAAGAAGCGAAGGGGATTCGAGGCACGCCGGTGCAAAGGCAAGCATGGGCATGCGATGGAATATGTGAAGGGAGGAGGACAGAGGAGGGAGCACGGAGTGAGAGGGAGGCGCACTGACCGCATGTAGGAAAGGCCAGCAGTGAGCACGAGGCCGCACACCATCCACACCACGCTGCCCCCAAACGGCCTCCCCCCCTCACCGCCCGCCCACTGCTCCCACCACCCACCGCCCTCCTCCTCCGCCTCCTCCTCCTCACCACTCCCCTTCTCCCCCTTCCCCCCTGCCCCCTTGTGCCTCCCCCTCACAACAGCAGCAGCAGAAGGGAGTGTGCCATCAAAGCACACCCTCTCATGCCCCTCCTCGTCCTCTCTCCCCCCCATCTCCTCCCCTCGCCCCCCTCCCCTCTGAACCCCCGCCCCGTGCGAGTCGGGCAGCCAACCAAAGCCCGCCAGCTGGCAGAACTGGCGGCCGGAGGAAGCAAGGGAGTCGGCCCGAGCACAGAGCGTGTCGCGGCGGCCACAGGGGAAGATGTGCTTCGGGGGGGAGCGGGAGGGGGTGATGGGTGGGAGGGGAGAGGGTGATGGGGAACGGGGGGACAGGGTGATGCGGGAAAAGAGGGGAGGGGTGGTTTGAGGATGAAGAATATCGAGAGGGAGGGGACGGATGTAAAGAGAGCCTGAGAAGAGTCCAGTGGAGAGAGAAAGGATGCAGACGCCAAGACAACCTGAAGATTTACCTAAAGCACCTGAGACGACCAACCTGGGAGGTGCCATCCGCTGCGAAAAATGCCGCGCCGCACGCAGAAAAGACGGCATGGCAGAACGAGTTGCAGATGGCGGGCGGCCCGTGCTGTGTGCCAATGAGGGGGTGACACGTGGCACACTGCAGCGCCTCCCACTTGGCAATGCAGTCGTCTGTGGGCTCCCCCCCCACCACCAGCCGCCTGGGGGATGGGCGAGGGGGGGGGGCGGCAATGCGGGGGGAGGGCAAAGCAGGGGGCGTGCAAGGGGAGGCGGGGGGACGGCAAGGGGGGGGCAGCGGGCAGTGGCAAAGGTAGGGAGCAGAGGGGGACGGGGAGGGGGCAGATGCAATCAGCAAAGAGCGGCACAGGGGGGGAGAAGGGACATGATAACACGCGAGAGGCAAGGGGGCAACGTGAAGACGGGGCACACCGCACAGCACAGCCCCCACACTCCCCCCACCGCTGGCCCGCTGCAAAAGCAGAAGCGTCATCTGCTTCTGCTGGCCGCTCAATCCCACGAGGCTTCCAACGCACGCTACCACCCAGGTGCCTCCGCTCCCCCGCCTCTTCCCCCCTTCCCCTCCGCCTCCTCTCCCCCTCCCCCCGCCTTCCTTTCTCGGTCCTCACCTGGTGGAGATTAAAGCGTGGTCGCTGTTCTCGTGCCCGCAGCACGTGCTATCCTTGTACACGCGGCACAGCGTCAGCTCCTGCGCGCCGCCCTTCGGGCTCTTTCGCGGAAGCTTCCCGTGCAGCCAAAAGGGCGGCCACTGCCCGCCCTGCGATATGCAGCGCCCGGGGGGGACTGCGCGGGGGAGAAGGGGGGGAAGCGGGGGTGTCGGGGAGAAAGGGGAGGAGGGAGGAGAGGAAAGGGAGGGGGGAGGAGAGGAAAGGGAGGGGGGAGGAGTGGAAAGGGAGGGGGGAGGTGGGGGAAAGGGAAAGTGGGGGGTTGGGGAAGGTAACGGCGCCGAGCAGAGAACGGCGATAGGGGCGAGATGAGGACGAGATGGTGCCTGGGAGGCTAGGAAGGCAAGGCGGGGGGTATGGGAGGCGAGTTGGGGATGGAAGGCGGCGGAGGGATGGAAGGCGGCGGAGGGATGGACGGGGCAGCAGAGCTCACATGACAGGGTGGGTCGTAAGGTGCGGGAATTGCGGGGAAAGGAGGGTGGGCAGTGGAGCGGGAGGTAGAGTGATGTGGTGCGGGGATGGAGATGAGCGGGACGGGGGGGATGATAGGTGGACGGCGCGCGAGGCTGGTGCCACTCCGCGCGCTCTCTAAAGCATGCGGGACGGCCGCCGCACGGGATTAGAGCGCGATTTCGCAAGAGGAGAGGAGAGAGGAGCGAGAAGAGAGGAGAGGCGAGGCGAGAGGGGAGAGGCTGGCGATCGCGCGGTTGAGATGGAGAGACGAGACCGGCACGACGGACCTGATGAGTTCGATTTCCGCGACTCGCTAGAGACGCGGCGCGTATTTCCCGCGGATTCAGCGGCGAGAGGGAGTGACGGCAGCAGCGACGCGGCGATAACGATCACCGCGCACGCGCGCGCACATCGCGACGACGACCGGCGATCCGCTTTCGGAACCCTCATAGGGCAATACCGCGACCGGCGCGCTGCCGGCCGGCACGGAGGTTTGGGCATCGCGAGGGTACCAGCTGGCAGTGACGTGTTGGTCAGGTGAATGTGGAACGGGATGGCGCGACGAGTGCGATTGGCGAAGGATTTTAGAAGGCCCCCGATCTCTGCTCTAGTTGTGGGAATTTCATCCGCGCTATACAGGACGGCCAGGCCCGCAATAAACCGCAACCAGAAAAATGAGTAGAGTACCATGCTGAGGAGATGGTAGCTGTGCACAAGGGACATGCTGAAGATGGGGCAGAGACTGAAGATGGGGCAGAGACTGAAGATGGGGCAGAGACTGAAGATGGGGCAGAGACTGAAGATGGGGCAGAGACTGAAGATGGGGCAGAGACTCAAGATGGGGCAGAGACTGAAGATGGGGCAGAGACTCAAGATGGGGCAGAGACTGAAGATGGGGCAGAGACTGAAGATGGGGCAGAGACTGAAGATGGGGCAGAGACTCAAGATGGGGCAGAGACTGAAGATGGGGCAGAGACTCAAGATGGGGCAGAGACTGAAGATGGGGCAGAGACTGAAGATGGGGCAGAGACTGAAGATGGGGCAGAGACTGAAGATGGGGCAGAGACTCAAGATGGGGCAGAGACTGAAGATGGGGCAGAGACTGAAGATGGTAGCTGTGCACAAGGGACATGCTGAGGAGATGGTAGCTGTGCACAAGGGACAAGCTGAGGAGATGGTAGCTGTGCACAAGGGACATGCTGAGGAGATGGTAGCTGTGCACAAGGGACATGCTGAGGAGATGGTAGCTGTGCACACGGGACATGCTGAGGAGATGGTAGCTGTGCACAAGGGACATGCTGAGGAGATGGTAGCTGTGCACAAGGGACATGCTGAGGAGATGGTAGCTGTGCACAAGGGACATGCTGAGGAGATGGTAGCTGTGCACAAGGGACATGCTGAGGAGATGGTAGCTGTGCACAAGGGACATGGCCAACGAGTGTTGTGGAAAGGACAGTAGGAGCGTTCATAAGGCGCAGACAAATCAACCGAGCAGGATGTGGGGAGGGGGGCAGGGAGAGGAGGGGGGGAAGGGGAGAGGAAGAGGGGAATCGGGAGGGGATAAGGAAGGGGTGGAGAAGAAGACGATCGAGTGAAGGGCAGGGCGTAAGGAGAGCAAAGCGCAGAGCTAGGGAGGGCGAACAGGCAGAATACAATAGGCGAGGTGCTGTGGGGATGTGGTGGGGCGTGCAGTGCAGCGAGGTGTGATCGCACACGGGCCACCGCGGCATCCATGGAGGGCACTCCCAAGTATCGCGGCCATTGGGGGGGGGCGCTGCTGCTGCCGCACTGCTGGGTGGTGGCGCTGGTGAGAGGGGTGGTGCAGGCGTGCCTGCTGCTCGGAAGAGTGACCATGCCTGTGCTCGTGTCTGTGTTGACTGCTCTGCTGCTGCCACCTGCTGCCATGTGTTGTTCATGCGGCTGGGCGGGCTGCTGATGCGGCCGGGCGTGCTGCAAGTGTGAGCATGGAGGGAGTGCCGTGACGCCGGAGAGAGGCAGAGGTGGTGCCTAAGGGTGGGTGGGTGGGGAGGAGAAGAACCGAGATACACGGTCAAGATTGCAATATTCCTTGCATGCCTTGCTTTCACTGCATGGCTTGCTTTCACTGCATGCCTTGCTTTCACTGCATGGCTTGCTTTCACTGCATGACTTGCTTTCACTGCATGGCTTGCACTGCATCAAGAGGCTAGCTCTAGAGTCCACACGATGTAGGGTGCTACTTGGGGTGTAGAGCGTAGTGTAGGTGTAAGCTTAGGGTGTGTGGTTAAGGCGAAGCAAGGAGCAGTGAGTGTGAGAGCAGCGGGGCACACCTGGGGACGCGGCGGAGGAAGGGGTGCCAGTGGCGGGATGCTGCCTGCTGCTGCTGCTGCTGCTGCTGCTGCTGCTGCTACTACTGGTGCTGCAGCTCTTGATGCCAACACTGCTGCCGGTGAAGTGACACCCATCCCTGCCGACACCTCAGTGTGCCTCGCCGTGCTGTCATCCTGCCCTCCAGCCGTCTGCGAACCCGCCTGCTCCTCCGCCAGCCCTGCCACGGAGACCCAAACAAACAAACAAACCCCACTCCACTTTGAAAATCCTCGTACCCCTCCCCTCCCTCCCGCCCCCTTCCCTATCCACCCCCCATCTCTCACGTCGGCAACGGACGGCCACGATTCGCCGTCGCTCCTCCAGCTTCGCCCACGTGTCCTCCATCGCCTCGTGCCCCGGCAGGTACGAAACTTTCAATGTGGTGCCCATGAATGGATACTCATCCAACTTTCTCTTTGCGAACCTGGGCAGTGCGAAGGAACAGACAACATGGAAGGAGACACGATGAGAGGAGGAAGGGCATGTGGAGGGGGCATGGTGCTAGACCATTACGGCAAGGCAAGCACAAAGCACTGAGGATATATATAGGATTGCCACGCACTGCAATGTGCGATTGAAATTCAATTTTAATGTGGATTCTATCTCATGCATGCCGCACCTGGCGTGGTGCAGGTGGGTGAATTTGAGCCACACGACGTCGGTGAAGGCAGGGGCGTCCTCCTCGTCCATCATGCGGTGCCTGCCACGTCATGTGATGCCACGTCATGTCATGTGGTGCCACGTCATGTAATGTGGTGCCACGTCATGTCATGTGGTGCCACGTCATGTGGTGCCGTGGTGGTGTGATCGCATAGCGGTGTGCTGGCATGGTGGGATGATGGAATAGCGGAATGATTGCAGGAAACACATGAAACAGCTGCAAAGACATGAAGGAGTGCATGCATGTTTCATTCACACGGCAACGCCACGTGATGATGCCACGATACAGCAGGCGGCGCTGGCTCACACTCTTCCCCCACTCACTCCTCCACGACTCACTCTTCGATGGGCCCATGCACAGAGAAGAGTCGAAGCAGGTCGCCCACACACCCCAGCGCCGGCACGTTGCACACCATCAGGTACCTGCGGTGTGCGGTGCGATGGAGAGCGGTGCAGCAGTGAGGCATGTGACGGCGCAAGGCACAAGTCACAAGTAGTGGCAATCAGGTATGGTTACTGCCAGAGATACACATGACTGTGTAGAGAAACATCCATGCCATGTCATCCCATCCCATTTCATCCCATCCCATCCCATCCCATCCCATCCCATCCCATCCCATCACATCCCATCCCATCCCATCCCACACCATACCACACTACCCCACCGCACCTTGACTCATCGTTCACAGTGTAAACGCGCACAGCCCTCTCGCGCCTCCCCGCCCGATACTCCGCGCGCGTGTAGCACACTCTGTCATCGTCCTCCTCCTCGCCGTCCCACATGGCTTCGACAGCGGCGGAAGAAGCAGCAGTTACGGCGCAGGGCAGCTTGGCGCTTCACCAGAGACGAGAGAAGGACAGCGAGGGAGCAGGATAACCAGCGCACAAGGTCCTGCGTCCGCGACCTGGCGTAGGGATCTCCGAGCCGTGACGGCGCTTCTGAGTCCACTGAAAAGGCGGAAACTCGCGGTGACGGTGGTGACGTGGAGCGACAACGAATCCACGTCAGTACTCAACGATCGCTTCCTTGAGCATGCGGCATCACTGAGGTGATATGGAATCTGACCTGGCTTGACCCGAAGCTCCCGTGTTTTCTCGTGATCGTCATCTCTCGCAACCCTCGCATCAGCCCAGCCTATGCATCCCAGTTGCACTCGCGGTACTAGCGGATTAGACTCTACTTTTTCGGATCCGCGCTAGCGCGTGCCATGGCCGCATTATCAGTCTCTAGGGGAGCGATTTGTCTCGCGTGCCTGACCAACGCAGGTGCAATCACAGGAGAAAAATCAGAGCAGGTCAAAGCGGAACCGCTGTTGTCATGAACATGACGGGAAAACACACAGCGCGGTACCTGTGGCTTCAGTGTACATTTGCATTTGGTGCTAAATCGGGTTGGGGTGTGCGAAATAACTTTGCATGTACGAAAGTGACGAGGGTGGGTTACCTTGCGAACTCAACACACCTGCGGATTCGTCTTCACTCACTCACACTCCACGCCACGACAAGCCCAAGGCCGGCGAGCCGGCGAGGAGTTTCTCCATAGGCCACTCACGTCTCTGGAGAGTTGCCGACGCTGCTGAATTCGGTGCAAATCCGGACGCACAGGGAGCCTCGGGTCAGGTAAGGGTTAGTACCCGTGGCTTAGCACGCGTTCACTTGCGAGAGGCCGTAGCACTCGAGAAGGCGGAATTCGCCTCAAGCCGCGGAACCTCTCACCTCGACTCCGCTCGTGGTACATCCCTCCGCGCTTGCGACTGCGCCGCCATGCGGATTCTAGTGACAGGAGCCACGGGCTTCCTAGGCACGGCGCTCGTAACGCGGCTCGTTGAAGTGGGACACAATGTGAGGCTCCGTTATTGGCTTGTTCGCTATAACACCCTTGTCATGCTGGTTGTATGCGTGTATACGATGAGTGCAACGAGTAGGCGATTAGGTTTCGCCGTTTGGAGTCTCGTGTGAGCAGCAGCGTGCCATATCGCAAGTCATCCCTTCTTCCCGAACGACGAGCGCAGGTTCGGGTGCTGGTTCGGCGCAGCAGCGACGTGTCGGACCTGCCGTTGGCGGCGGAGCGCGCGTACGGCGACGTGACAGATGGCGCGTCCGTATTGGCTGCGGCGGAGGGCTGCGAGGCGGCGTTCCACCTGGCGGCGCTCGTGCAGGCGTGGTGGCCCGACGAGCGCGCGTTCGAGCGGGTGAGCAGATAGGGCCGGTAAGAATGGCGGGGCAGTCGTGGCAGCGGGACGGGGCAGAAAGGGCTTGTTCGGTGGGAGGGGAGCGACGTGTTAAGCGCGTTACTAGTAATAGGTGTGGGGAGGGGTGAGGTAGGGGAATTAGCGAAAGAGACGGGAAGGGAGCGGTGGTGGCGTGGTGAGTGAGGGGCTGAGGGAGACCGGTCGAGGGACAAGCGAGGTGGAGCAAGGAGGGGATGAGCGCCGCGAGGGATTGCAAGGAATGTTGGATATTGGCGTGGCAGACAGGGGCCAGCGCGTTGGTTGTTGGTGGGCTCACAGCATGGCAGGCGGCTGCAGGCCAGTTGTCTGGATGCACGTGGGGTGGCGCGGGTGGCACGATGGGCACGAGGGAGGCGAGGGGTGAGAGCGGGAACTGTATGATAGTGCGAGCAGCAGGACATGTGGTGTGCGAGGAGAGAGTGGGAGTGCGAGGAGAGAATGGGAGTGCGAGGAGAGAGTGGGAGTGCGAGGAGAGAATGGGAGTGCGAGGAGAGAATGGGAGTGCGAGGAGAGAATGGGAGTGCGAGGAGAGAATGGGAGTGCGAGGAGAGAATGGGAGTGCGAGGAGAGAATGGGAGTGCGAGGAGAGAATGGGAGTGCGAGGAGAGAATGGGAGTGCGAGGAGAGAATGGGAGTGCGAGGAGAGAATGGGAGTGCGAGGAGAGAATGGGAGTGCGAGGAGAGAATGGGAGTGCGAGGAGAGAATGGGAGTACGAGGAGAGAATGGGAGTGCGAGGAGAGAATGGGAGTGCGAGGAGAGAATGGGAGTGCGAGAGAATGGGAGTGCGAGGAGAGAATGGGAGTGCGAGGAGAGAATGGGAGTGCGAGGAGAGAATGGGAGTGCGAGGAGAGAATGGGAGTGCGAGGAGAGAATGGGAGTGCGAGGAGAGAATGGGAGTGCGAGGAGCAGTACGGGGCTGACATGGGCCATGCATGCAAGTCAGCCCATGGCCATCCATGCCGTTCACGCTCCCTGCCCCATGCATACCATGCCATGCCATGCCGTACCATCCCGTGCGCCCTCGCAGGTGAACGTGGGCGGGCTGGAGAACATGCTGCAGGTGCTGCGAGAGACGGCGTCGCTGCAGCGCCTCGTGTACGTGTCGTCATTCTTCGCGCTTGGCCCCACCGATGGTGCCATAGGCGACTCCTCGCAGGTACTCCCACGTGAACCATGCATTAGACGCTGCCAGAGCAACGCATCTGCATACATACGCTCCGTGCGCTGTGTCCCGTTGCCTCATGTGTTGTGCCCCATGTCCCCATGCTCTGAGTCGACGATGCTCCCATGCCCCATGCTCATCACTCCGCCCCCGCACAGGAGCACACGGGGCGGGACTTCTGCACGGAGTACGAGCGCACCAAGTGGGTGGCGGACAAGGTGGCGAGGCGGGCGGTGGAGAGCGAGGGGCTGCACGTGGTGCTCGTGTACCCGTGTGTCATCTATGGTCCTGGCCGCATCAGCGCCTCCAACCTCGTCGTCAAGATGGTACGGGGGCAACTACCATGGGAGAGGCTATGTCGCTTGCACGTTATGTTGACTCATCTGCACGTTATGTTAACTCATCTGCACTCTCCCCGCCCGCCCTACCCCTGCCCCTCCCCACTCCACCATCTTTCTTGTCCGACTCCGCCTTTCGGTTTCCTCCCTCGCTCATGCTTCTCTGCCTTTCGGTTTCCTCCCTTGCTCATGCTTCTCCGCCTTTCGGTTTCCTCCATCGCTCATGCTTCTCCGCCTTTCGGTTTCCTCCATCGCTCATGCTTCTCCGCCTTTCCCTTTCCTCCCTCGCTCATGCTTCTCCGCCTTTCGGTTTCCTCCCTCGCTCATGCTTCTCCGTCTTTCGGTTTCCTCCCTCACTCATGCTTCTCCGCCTTTCCTTTTCCTCCCTCGCTCATGCTTCTCCGCCTTTCCTTTTCCTCCATCGCTCATGCTTCTCTGCCTTTCCTTTTCCTCCCTCGCTCACTCATGCTTCTCCGCCTTTCCTTTTCCTCCCTGGCTCATGCTTCTCCGCCCTTCCTTTTCCTCCCTTCCTTTTCCTCCCTCGATCATGCTTCTCCGCCTTTCCTTTTCCTCCATCGCTCATGCTTCTCCGCCTTTCCTTTTCCTCCCTCGCTCATGCTTCTCCGCCTTTCCTTTTCCTCCCTCGCTCATGCTTCTCCGCCTTTCCTTTTCCTCCCTCGCTCATGCTTCTCTGACCAAAAGTTCGTCTCCCACCCTCTTTCCTGCCCACCCTGTTTCACACCTTTTCCCCGCCAATTTCGCACTTGTGTCCCCCATGCCATGCCATGCCATCCCATGCCATCCCGTGCAATGCCATGCCATGGAACGCCATGCCATGCCATCCCGTCCCACGCCACGCCATCAGATCGCGGACCACTTCCAGGGCCGACTACCAGGGCTGTTGGGCAGCGGCACGCGCCTCAACAACTTTGTCCACGTCAACGACGTGGTTCTCGGGCTGCTCGCCGCCCACCACCGCGGCACGCCCGGGCGGCGCTACATCCTGGGCGGCGAGAATGCGTCCATGGTGCAGCTGTTCCAGGCCGTGCAGCGCGCCACAGGGAAGGCCCCCCCGCGGCTGCGCCTGCCGCTGTGGCTGGTGGCGGTGCTGGGGTGGGTGTCGGTGCTGGTGGCGAAAATGGGCGGACCCATACCCATCTTCACTCATCAGGTGCCTCATCTTTCCACAATCTCCTTGGGGTGGGTGTCTGGGTGGTTGCGGGGGAAACTCAGGTGGTCGTTACACTGCTGTTCCAAGCTGCTGCTGGTCCCCTTGGCCCTGCCACCACGCCCTCCCCTCCCCCCTCTTCCTCCCCATCCAGTCAGCATGCCCGTTCAATCCTGCCTGGGCCCACACCTGCCAGCATTCTAGTGTTTCGCTTCATGCTTGCCCCATGCCTGCTTCTCCCCATCCATCTCAAATAGTCCTTTGTATTAATGCGCTGATTGGTACAAGCAGGACGGTCCACGCAGGGCAGAATGCAAATTCGCCTCTCTACATCTACCCGCCTCCTAGCACCTACACTCACTCCAGGGTGTGGAGGAGGTCCGCTGGAGCCAGGGGCCAGGGGTCCGCTGGAGCTTGCGGGTGTGCCGCTTCAATACCCGCCCGCGCCTTCAAACCCTAAACCATCCATCTCGCTATCTTCCTGTCTCTCCTCCCCGCTCTGTTAATCTCCCCCTTTCGTTCTTCCTCCCACTCATTTCCCCCCCTGACCTCTCCACTCCCTTCTCTTGCCCTCACTATCCCTCCCCCCAACTGCCAGTCAGTGCGCACATTCAACCACAACTGGCCCAACAGCAGCGAGCAGTCGAGCCCTCCATGCCTGTGAACCCGCTCGTCCCCCTTTCTTCCCCCCTCCCTCCCCCGAACTGCTAGTCAGTACGGGCATTCAACCACGACTGGGCGTACAGCAGCCAGCAGCCCAACTCTCCCCTTCTTGCCTGTAAACCTGCACTTCCCCCTTGCTTCTCCCCATTCCCACTCTCTCGCCCTCCCTCTCCCTCCATCCAACCGGCAGTCAGTGCGCGCATTCAACCACGACTGGGCGTACAGCAGCCAGCAGGCACAGCAGGACCTCGAGTACTCGCCGCTCTCGCTGGAGGAGGGCCTTCGAGACACACTCACGTGGATGCGTGCCGTGGGGGCCATCAAGTAGCAGGGGAGGGGGTGGGCAGGGCAGGGCGTTGGGCATGCATGGTGAGTGCCAATGTGCCATGCGACCCCAACTCTCAAGTTCTCGCCCCTCTTGCTGGAGGAGGCTTGGAGACACGCGCATGTGGATCCGTGGGCAGTGCACGTGCGACTGCAGCAGGCAGCAGGCATGGGAGGTGCTGGGTAATGCTTGTGGCAGGCATGCATGCAGGTAGGTAGGCACACATGCGCCGTGTGAGTAATCCGGAGATTCGTGCTGTGTATGTACATTTAGTACATGAACATTCAAATGTGAACCAGCATACCGTATCACACCCTGTGATTGCGTAACTTTCACACTTGGTTTTGCGACCCTTCATAACCCTTTCGGCTTCTAGGCTCTACTCTACACTAAACCCCTCAGAACCCCGCAAACCCCTGGGGATGAGAGCCCCTCGGCCGGAACCCCTTGGCAATGACATAAATCTCCCGGGAGGAGGCCCGAGTGGCCTTGGGGCGAAGGCGTGTCACTGATGAGAAGAGCTGCCTGCACGCTGCCACGTACACTGGGGGTGTGTGTGGGGAGGGGGGGAGTGGAGGATGGGGGTTTCAGAGGGAGATGGGTTGCGAGCTAAGGATGGAAGGAGGCGGGAAGACAATGAGTGGAGGGCAAGGTGCCTACGAGATATTGAGTAACAGGGCGCAGTGCAAGGGCCAGGACAGGACGAAGCAGCAAGTGTTTTTTCCCCCACTCTCCCTTCTCCACCCATGCACCGCACCCACTCTCCCTCCCACCATGCCTGGGGTATCTCCACCACTGCCCACCACTGCCTACCACTGCCTACCACTGCCCACCACTGCCCATCCCTGCCCAGCACCGTACCTGGAGTGTCGTCACCCTCCAGCAGCTTCACCACCATGTGCCCCCCCACTGCCAGCACGCCCCCCTGCGCTGCTGCCCCTCCCTCCCCACGCCCCTCTACTGAACGCCCCTCCGCTTCCCGTCCCCCTCGCACACGGGCACTTGGTCCCTCTACTGCCTCCGCTGCTGCTACAGGGCCCGTCCCTGCTGCTGCCCTCTCTGCTTCTGCTCCTGCTGCAGCGCCTGCCTCTCTTGCTGCTTCCCCTGCGGATTCCCTCGCACCTCTGCCTCTGCTCCCAACCACGCCTGTGTCGGAATAGGCTGGGTCTGGGTGGGAGCGGTCGTGGCCCCATGGGAGTAAGTGTGCATCCGGTTTCAAGTGTATGTGGTGCGGTTGGGTGCTGTGCGGTTCCGAGTGCGTGTGGAGGGGTTGGGCTGCGAGGGCGAGGGCACGGAGGGCGAGGGAGTGGGAGGCGGCGACGTCAGAGGGGGAGGCGCCTGAGGTGGATGGGCACATGTCTGATAGCAGCGTGGTGAAGCGCGGCGAGGGGGAGGGCGAGTGGGGCTGGAGGAGGGGGAGGGGAAGGGAAGAAGGGGAGGGGAGTAAGAAGCAGTTGAATGCTTTAAAAGGGAGGGGAGAACTGAGATGGATGGGCACATGTCTGAGAGTAGTGTGGTGAAGTGCGGGGAGGGGGATGAGGAGCCGGCTGGAGTGGGGGAGTTAGGGGATGGAAGGCGAGGGGTGAAAGGGGGGAGGGATGGGGCAGTAGAAAGGTGGAATGAGAGGGGGAACACATGTCGCAGTGGGGCGTGGTGAAGCGGGGAGCTGGAAGTGGGGCTGGGGGGGAAGGTAGAAGATGGGGAGACATGGGGAGGGAGGGTAAAAGAAGTTGAAAGAGTTGTCATGAGGAAGGAAGCGGTCCAAGTGGGTGGGCATCTGAGGCAGAGCAGGGTGATGAATAGGGGAGCGGGGGAGGACGAGTGGAGCTGAACGGAAGGGATGGGAAGGGGAGGGAAAGGAGAAGCATTTGAATGGGTCGGCATGAGAGCAGTGTGGAGTGGAGGAGGCGACGACTGTGAAACTGCTCTGGCAACTATGCACTCGGGCACAGACGCGTTGTGCAGGAAAGAACGTGCAATGAAGGAGGTGAGTGCAAGGAGGGGGAGAGAAGGTGGAAAGAGTGGGCAGTGGTAAGGAGAGGGCGGTATGTGCCTGGAAGGAGGAGAGGAGGGCAGGGCACGTGGAGGGGTCGTGCCTGGAGGGAGGAGAGGAGGCGGAGCAGGAGGAGCGGCGAGAGGGAGAAGGCATCGGCCTGGATGACTTGCACTCGCCTGTCACACCACCGCTGCGGCACTGCCGTGCGCTGATGAGAGGGCCAGCGTGGGTTTGTGGGGTGGTGTGGTGGTAGGGGGAGGGGGTGGGAGGAGGGGACATGAGAAAGAGAGGATTGGTGGGATGTATCAGACATGTGTAAAGAGAGGGGACATTGGGATTTGAATCTGGTCTGGACAGAACTTGCGAGAGCAGGGAAGGCATGAAAATAAGTTAGAAATCACCTGAATGTCAACGCCAACGACACATCCGCCTTGAGCTATGGGCCCCAGGGCCTGACATGACACCTGTGATGCATGGCAGGCATGAGAGCACATGGAAGGCATGAAGGCATGGCAGCGAGCATGTTCATGGCAGCGAGCATGTTCATGGCAGCGAGCATGTTCATGGCAGCGAGCATGTTCATGGCAGCGAGCATGTTCATGGCAGCGAGCATGTTCATGGCAGCGAGCATGTTCATGGCAGCGAGCATGTTCATGGCAGCGAGCATGTTCATGGCAGCGAGCATGTTCATGGCAGGATTTGATATGTCTGGGAGTCATGGGCATGTGAATGATGTGGCACCGCTGCTGATAAGCATGCTGTGCTCCATCCCGCATATGCCACCCATGGCAGCATGCGGCACATGCCACCATGGCAGCACACACCATGATACGAACGAACGGCACAAGCGGTGGCCATTCAGCCATGCATGCATCCTCACTTGCATCCACGCTGCACGCACATCACGTGCACCCATGTCACATCACGTGCACCCATGTCACATCACGTGCACCCATGTCACATCACGTGCACCCATGTCACATCACGTGCACCCATGTCACATCACGTGCACCCATGTCACATCACCATCACCTGCACCCATGTCACATCACCATCACCTGCACCCATGTCCCATCACCATCACCCCAGGAAAGGCGCATGTAGACATCCATATCATAAGCACCGCCATGGCCATCACCTGTAGCCATCACCATCACCCCAGGAAAGGCACATGTAGACATCCATATCATAAGCACCGCCATGGCCATCACCTGTAGCCATCACCATCACCACCGTCCCTACCACCTACCTTCCGCCATGCCTCACCACCACGCATCTGCCTGCAGCCATGCCCCATCACCATCCACCTGCCTGCAGCCATGCCCCATCACCATCCACCTGCCTGCAGCCATGCCCCATCACCATCCACCTGCCTGCAGCCATGCAGCCATGCCCCATCACCATCCACCTGCCTGCAGCCATGCCCCATCACCATCCACCTGCCTGCAGCCATGCAGCCATGCCCCATCACCATCCACCTGCCTGCAGCCATGCCCCATCATCATCCACCTGCCTGCAGCCATGCCCCCGGGCAGCACCCCAGGTCCAGCACTGCTCCTCCCCTCCTCATCACCGCGTGCCGCCGCTGCACCTCCTGCAGCTGGGGGAAGGGGAGGGGGGAAAAGGAGGGGGAGGAGGGGAGGGGGACCGCAGGGCAGGGGGTGGGGGAGCGGGAATCATGCTGTTAAATGCGGATCCGCTGCAGCAATAGTGGTGAAGCCGCGGGAGGGGATGGGGGGAAAGCGGGAGAATGCAGGTGGCTCCGTCCGTCCTCGCGCATGCAGTATCACGCGGCAGCTGCGCCGGCGCTATTTGCGGACGCGGCTCGAGGGACGTTAGTCGACGCAGGACTCCCTGACGCGGCGCCCTTCACGAGGCGCGCGAGTGCACACCTTGAACGCGGAGCGCGCTACGTAGCCGAGGCGGCGCGCCTCTTTGAAGAAAAAATCCTGCGGCGTGAAGCGCGCCATGGCTTCTGCGCATGCTGCCGGGAAATGTGGCGTCGAGTGGATGTGGGCGGAGGTGGTAAGCTTGTTGCTGTAGCGAAGGTTTTGCGTGTGAGGCGTAAGTTAAATGGTTCTAAACCACCGCCACCCAATGATTTCGCACAGGGGGGTAACTGTAGTTATCGAAAGTCCTTTTTGTTTTCCAAATACATTACCGTATCATGATTACACTGCTTGGCAAGAGAAAGTACAAATTTCTTCTAGCATGAACACAAGTACAGCAAAAGGTGTAAATCACAATACTAATTAAAACCAATGTAAAAGCGATTGGCAAAAAGAAGCATATGAAGAATTCAACGCAACGAGCGGTTGCGCTGATGCTTATTTGCAGTGTGCCCGAAACAAATCCATTCCGGATGAAAAAAACGCAAACGTTTCTTGACGTTGTATCGCATGAAGCTATTACATTGGTGCCTTCATGACAGTAAGTGCATGAACGTGCTCTAGAAAAACACTGCACGATGGGGTGGAGAGGGGGGGGAGAGGGAGGGTGGAAGAGCAATGTGAGATAGACATTCAGCAAAAGCATTTGAAATAGGAATGGCTAGGATAGGAGCATTTGGCATGTAAGAGAGGATTAGGGAGGGTGGGGAGGAGGGAGGGGGGAGAGCAAGAGCGAGGGGAGGAGGAGAGGGAGGGGGAGGAAGAGAGGGAGAGAGAGCGAGGGAGAAAGAGGGAGGGAGAGAGAGGGAGAGAGAGGGGGGAGGAGCAGAGAGGGGCTGACTGACCTCCAGGGTCCGTCGCCAACAAGCAGTGTGTCGCCGTCGGCGTCGGTGTAGGTGAGCTGCCAGGGACACGTGGCACCCGCTGAGGGCTGCTGCAGAGGCAGCTGTAGCATGGCTGCACACGTGGCGTACAGCGATTTGAAGCTGCCAATGCCACTCAGATCCACCGTGCGCCCCACCAGGCTTCCCTCCACCCGCAGCTGCACAAGGCACAGGGGAGAGGAAGGGGGAAAGAACACGAGGTGAGTGGGATGAGAGGGCGCCATACGTCCATATGTCCATGCAACCATGATTCCCCTCACGTCGCATCGCCTCACCTTAATGCGCCTTCTGTTGGCCGCCTGGGACGGCGAGGGCGACAGCTTGCAGGGCGACGCCGGCTGCTTGGACGGGGAAACCGTCTGCCCATCCATGCTCTCCGCCCCCCCTGCTGCCTCGCGCTCGCCACTCGCTGCCCGCTCTTCCATTGCAGCGCGCTCAACCTCCCCGTTGCTGCTGCTCCTGGGGGTGCCGCCGCTGGCAGAGCTGGGGGAAGAGGGCAGCGTGAAGAGACAGCCGTGGGGTGCAGCCACAACACCAGCACCACCAGCAGCATCAGCATGAGCAGCAGAGGTGCCAGCGGAGGGCATGGCAAGGTCGCTGTCAAGCGTGTCCGTCCTCTCGGGTCGTTCGACGCGAAGCAGGCGAGTGACATCCGACTCGGAGTGGCAGGCATGGCGCAGCACAGGCAGGGCGAGGCCTGTGGTGCGGCGGCGCTTGAGGCTCGGGGCGGAGTGGTCGGAGGGGGGCGAGGCAGTCAAGGCGGAGAGGCCGAGAGAGAGCGTGAGATGCACCGCCCCCTCCTCCTGCTGCTCCCTCTTCACCCCGCCATGCCGGGCGCTGGCAGGAGCATAGGCTGTGAAGCCCCCGGGAGCAGTGAGGGTTCGAGGGAAGGCCGGGCGAGGCGCAGCTGGGGATGCACAGCCTGCACCGGCTGTAGCAGCAGTGGCAGGGGTGGCGGTTGTAACGGATTCTGGAGACCCGCTGTACTCCATAGCAGGCTGGTCGTGTGACCAAACCATGGCATCAGGCTCGGTGCAGCCATGTTCGGAAGCCAGAAGCCGCGGAGGAAGGGAGTGGTTCGGGAGGAAGGAAGTGAGGGGTGTGTGAGAGAGGGGGGCGGTAGTGGAGAGGCGCAGAGGGGTGGGGCCCCAGCTGCCCGCGTTCCCATGCTGTCCCGCTGCAAGGGGGGCGGCACGGGCGGCAGCAGGGGTTTGCATGGAAGCAGGAACAGGCAGAGGGGCGCCAGGTGGGGAGGGAGGTGAAAAGCAGTGCAGTTGCTGCTGTGGGTGATCATCATTCTGCTGGTTGTGCTGGTGCTGCTGTCCATGTCCGGGAGGAGGAGGCATGGGAGCAGCGGTGGGGATGGAGAGAGGAGGAAGAGACAGCGGGGGCGGGCGCGGGGCCGAGTGTGACAGCAGAGCAGCGCCGGCAGCAACGGTGGCGATAGGGGGTACAGAGGCGAAGGTGGTGGAAAGGGGGGCGGAGCCGGAGGAGACATAGAAGGAGGAGCAGGGCTGGGCGAGGGTGCGGGCATCGTCAAGCAGCCAGGGGGAGAGGCGCGTGGGCTTCACTGCCCCGTCTGTGTCGCCCCACTTGATCTGCACGGAGCGCCAGGGCGAGGAGGGCCACGTGGCAGAGGGCGAGTGGTGCAGCGAGAGCACGATGCCACGTAGGCGGCGCGTTGCGAGGTCGTCGGTCTCGAGCGTGAGGCGCACCTCGCTGCCCGGCTGTAGCGCCGCCTTCACGTGCAGCCCTCGTGTGAAGTCGGGGAGTGGGATGACGAAGGGCGTTGAGGCGCTCACCCTGCCATGGCGAGAGAAGGGGCAAGGAGAGGAGAGAAGTTAGGAGGGGCGAAGTGTGGAAGCTGAATTGCCAAGGTCGAACGGTGACCTGAGAAGCTGATTCAGCATGACACAAGCTGACTCAGCACAGTTGCAAGCTGGCTCACCACGGGTGGAAGGTGACAGAGAAGGCCGTGCGGCGGCTGTAGCAGCGAGCAGCGGCGGCCAGCACAGCATCAGCAGACGCCACCTCCGCCAGGCCTGGGGATGCTGCGGAGGGCGCCATGGCGGCGGGGCCGCCCACGTGGTCAACGTCAAGGGAACACTGTTGAGCGTGGCGCGCCTGGCGCTGCGCCTGCAGGGCCGCCATGGCCGCCTCGCTGCGCCGCACCGCCACCTTGAGCGCGCCGTGCCGGTTCCTGTGGGGGTGGAGGAGGGGAAGGGGGGGCGAGGGGGCGGTGAGCTGGGTGATGGTTGCGCTGCGTTGTGCTGCGACGCCTGGGAGGCGAAACACACGCTCTGAAGAGACAATTGAGCGCACCTAAGGAAGACGATACGGTCGCCAGCAGCGAGGCCCCAGGTGGCGGAGAGCGCGCTCCAGCCGGTGGTGAGCAGGTGGCGCTTGGGCGTGCCGCGGTACACGTGGCGGAAGAGCCACTGGTTGCCCAGCACGTCCGTGGCCGTGATGCGCTGCGATGGCACCGACTGTGTCATGTCCTGCACCGCACCGCACCAGAGGGAGCACGAAGGCATACACAAAGAGAGTATGGAGAGGAGGAATGAGCGCGACGCGGTGGGAGAGTTCACACACACACGCAGAGGAGCTGAATTATGAGCGCAGGACAGTCAAATTGAACGTTGAAGAAGCCTTTCACACGCGCGGGTGACGGCGCAGAGCGGCATCCAGGTGACATACCAGGTGGGGGAGGCAGGCCTCGGCGGCCTTGCGCGGGATGGAGAAGCCGCCGTGCGTGGACGTGTCGCTCGTGGACAGCCGCTTGCAGCACACGCGGTCCTGCTCCGTGCGCGCGTACAGCACGCGGCTTCCGCTCGCCGCCGCGCCCGCGCGCGCTGCCCGCGCCTGCTCCTCCGCCGCCTCCGCCTGCCAATTGGACGGGAACGTAAAGAGGGAGCGGCGGGGCGCGGAACGAGGCAATTGCGCTTCGGGACATGAGAATATTAATGGAGAAGTCAGGATGGAAAAGCGTCAAAGACCGTCCGTACCTCTTGGATGGGCTGCAGCTGCATGGTAGCCAGCAACTCGTGCGTCTCCACGTCAATCTGTAGCACCAAGGACTCCAGCCGGCAGAACATGTGGCTCGGGGGCAGCGCGGCTGTAGCAGCGTCGCTGCCTTCGTCGTGAGAGCTGCCGCGAGCGCCGGCGCAGTCGCCGCTGGAGGCGGAGCCGCCGTCTCGCATTTCTCCCGCGGCGGCTGCGGAAGACGTATTGTGCGGCGCTGCATGTTGCGGATCCCACTGCTGCTGCGCTTCGTCGGACGCGGAGCAAGACGCGCTTCTGGTCTGCAAACACGAGCAGATCAATCGATCAGTGGACTGTAAATCAGAATCACATGTAAGTATAGAACGAGGAAATGTAGCCGCAATTGGCCTGTACCTGAAAAAGAAACGTGTGAGTTCCATCTGACATAATGAGTGAATTTTGTAGGGGAACAAAAAAGGTTTCGCGTACCTCAGCCAGTAATTGCTGTTGCTCCACGTGTCCTTCTGGAAAATACACCACGACAGATCCGACGGCTGGGAGTGTCACGAGAGGCCCGGCGCACGCATGCCACAGCTCCACGTCGTCAATTGCCCGAACAGTCGCTCCCTGATTCTGCGCCGTCATTTGCGACGCAATTGACGGAGTTGTTGCGAAATTTGGCGCTGATTCGTCCCCTGAAGGTCCGTGCTGAGAGGGAAATGCTGGCACGCGAAGAGTTTCAGCGTCGTGTCGCGACGAGGAGTCGCTGGATCCATGGCTGCCGCTGTTCAGCGTGAAAGGCGGCGTCAAATTCGGGGAAGGAGCTTTTAGCAATTGGATAGAGTCGTCGGACGACTGGCAATGGCTTAAACCGATGGGCTTCCAGAACGAGCCGAGGCGCTGCGGAGGAGAAACGCTGGAAGCAAATCCAGCGGCATTTCTGGTGCTGGTAACACATTGCGGAACAAACGCGGGTACAGCGGTGTCACTGCTTGTGACAGCGGTAGACATGACGAACAGAGAGTAATATGATGCGATGCGAGTGAATATGCGAAGTGATCGAATGATGCGACGAGAGCGTAGCAGATGCGAAGTGAGTGAGTCAGAGAACGTATGAAGTTACAGCTCGCTGAGGAACAACAAATACAGCTGTGGGTAGCGAGGGTGCAGAGACTAAGTGCCAGGGTGTGTGGATTGGGCTAGCTGGGGGGACAGGATGGTGCGCAAAGGCTGAGAAATTGGCGGAGAAAGAAAGCAATCCCGCCGGGATACTGTTGCGAACGTTGTTTGTGTTGACCTGACTAACACCCAGACAAGGAACCTGATATGTCAAGGTGCCCAAAAGCAATGACAACGGAACCAGTACACTACACAGACAAGCACTATAGAGTTTAGAGACGGGGGTTCACTTCCACTGCCCATCCGCCAAGCGTCGGAAGGAACACGGTTCACTTCTCCATACCTCCCACAGCCGTCCTGTCCCGACCCGACTCCCCGAGCCGATTAGCGATGATGATGACGAGTGTGAGAAGCACCTCCAATTCATATGGGTCTGTCCTTCACGTGTCTGGTTGGAGTTTGGTTGGATGGACGACGACGAACTGATCACCTCGAAGTGACAAAGCCGCACGGGTGGCTTCTATCCTTCAATTCGCCAGTCTACACGTACATAATTCACGTGTATTCAGTACAGAACAGTAGAGAACATTACAGTACAGTACTTTCACCTCTGTGGAGCTTGTGCTAAAAGTGGTCAAAATTTTCCAGGAACTTTCAATGTACAACACCCCAATTTACCAAATGAGAAACTGCTTTTTCGGTGGTGCACACAGCGGGACCAGGCTTGTGGTGGAAAATGGAGCGGGCCCTACAAAATTGGGCCGGGGAATGCTGTGAGTCCCAAAATAAAGTTTCCGCTCGTGCACTGTTCTCCTCTCTCCGCCCGAACCCCCTCCCTCCATCCCCCCCTCCCTCACTTTCTGTGTGGCCCACGGTTGAAGTCGTTCGGGTGTCTGGGTCTCTGGGCATACTGGGGCGACACTGTACACCTTGTTTGCAGCCTCTTGGACTTCGAAACATACAACACCACACAACCACCCCACCTCTCTCTGTGTATGCTGCCTGAATCTAAGGAAGCGATTCGAGAACAGACGGCTGCGACGCGCACAGAACGGCTACAACTCAAGCCACCTTGCTGATTGATGACTATTCTGTATTTGAGGTCAATTCCTTCACATGCCCGCACTCAGTTGCAGTTACACTCTTTGGTTAAAATTCGATAGGACGATAACACCCGCTTGTGTATCTGTGAATGGATGACCACTACGTTTTGTCACTTCCCAAAAGAGCCTTGATGCTGCGATCAACATGTACAGAATCAAATACACATTCGTGTGCCCTGAGGACAGCATGTGTAAATATCCCAAATATCCCGGGTGTGGTGTCACTTCATGTAAATCTTCCGCAGAAAACAGTGAGAATCACGATTCATTGAGTTCACTCCACTGACCATCTTGAGCAAATTTCCCTGATTTAGAACCAATGTAGAGGTTCGAAATAACCACTTCGAGCAATATTACATATTACTATGTATTGACCTCACCATTTTCATATGGAAGTCAATGTTCCTCGGGTCAGCCCAGCACTTTTCGACATGACTACGAGTAAGGACGTGTTACGGTTCGCCTCTGAACTGCTGTGATCTGGTCGGTTCGGGTTGCCCCTGATTGCATTGCTCGCGCCGTCCGATCAGATAAGTTATTTTCGAGCATTCAGCGAGGGTGCATGGCAAGCGTGCCACTCCTTCCTGACACTTTCGGGCCCACTTTGGCGAGGGTGAAGACATGTCCATTGATCTAGCGATTTTCGCTGTCTCCTTGTAACTTCGCATAAACAGGTGCCCAGAAACGCTGGAGCTTCAGAACCATCCAACGAAAGTTCTTGCCATGTTGGTTGGTTGCGCGAAATCTTCACGAAACTCAGAACAACACCGTAACTTCTCGCAAGCGTCGCCTGGTAGCCCAAACCAATGCGATCAACTGATCGTCGGTGATTGCGTGGGGTTTGTGTTTGATTGGGCGGTTTTAGGCGGTTGATCGAGTTGGGGCGATCAGCTGATCGTGATCAAGTGATTGCCCCCGATTGCACGAAATCGCCACCTTAGCTTCCCAGAAGTTTTTAATCGAGTCTGATCGTGGCAATCAGAGGCGAATCGTAACCAGTCCTAAGGCAGGCGCGGTGGTTTATTTCAGGTGTTTTCTCGCCTGTGAAACACCACCAGAAAAGTTCCACACTAGCAATTGTCAAAACGAGAAGGCTCTGACAACTGTTTGCTGCAGCCGGCTCTCACCACCTTATTAGAAGACAATATTGCCAACTGGGACGATTTGTCTGCATATATTCGACTCAGCGGTACAGAATCAAATCCATGTCGAAGCATCAGATGGATGCTACATTCAATGGATTCTTGTCCATGTTGCAATCGATGAGAGAAAACATGGTCCGCATGCTGAGTAGCTGCGCGCTGATTTATTTATGTCCAACCTTTTGCTGGTCAGCTGTGTGGTGGGCACAGTATCGCCTGATTTGTTTCATCTGACTGTGCCAGCAAACAGTTCACGGACATCGAAGCTGGAGCAACATTGAAGTCCCACCACCAGTGCAGCCACCATCCCGGTTCGTGCATTTTCCCAAAGCCATGACTACTACAGTTAATTCAATATGCGAACCGTCACCAACCATCCTACACTTCCTTTGTCACAGAGAAACTCCATTTGGAATTATTTTCTTTTTATAAACACTCGAAACACTTAAGATATTTTGACACGCTAACAGTGTCTCAGAACAACCGGGTTTCGGAAACATGTACATAACTGGCGTCGTCTGGTAAGAACACAAGTGACTTATCGAACGTATGTTCGTGTCTCGTGGTGCACCATAAACAGATGGTCAATCCCCCCTTCAACTCTGTGGGTGTCTATGCATCTGACAGGGTGCAATACTGTAGTATGTCTGCACAAGAACCACAACATCTGAAAGCCAATTTTTAACAAATCGTGAAAGAGTCTCTCCAAGTGCTGCACACTCGTGTAGAGTCTTGTATGCCCAGCGCTGTCCACAAAAAAGCCGTTGAGCTGATTCAGCCTCCCCGAACCGAACAAATTTGTGGTGTGCATCCGAAAATTCTGAACGCCAGAAATGCTTCGAAACTGAGGGAGGGGCTGAACAGGTAGTGATGTTATATCGCAGGGCAGGTCGTCTCGATCTTGGACTTAGGGCGTGTCCCACGAGTTTGTATGGGAAGAATATCTGTTCTTAAACGTAACTTCGACAAACAAAAGACTGTACCATGTGACCGAAAAAACACGCAGCGCGTCAGCACTGCGCCAAACGGAGTTGCACCAAATGGACGTAGTGCCCCGCCCATTGAAAACTCGTCTCCCTGATAACCTTTGACATGGTCCGCGAGCGGTAACTCGGGCTAGTTGCGAATCGATTTTGGTGTTGGGGCGCGAATCGGGATCCCAAGCGACGTTCGTTTTTCTCTTGCGATTGAGGTTGGGCGAATTCTGATATCGGGATAACAGTTTACGCGGACCTGTTCGAATTGATGGTACTTAGAGGTCCAGTATACATTTATTATCGAGGTTCAGGGTTTTACAGTGTGCATCACAGTTCCCAAGGATTTTGAACCCCTCCTTTCAAATGTTACTGGAGCTTTAACATGGAAGCCGTTTTTGAACGGGAATGCAACGCATAAGTGTCGCGCGTCACTGAAGACGCATGACCACAGTTGTGAAATTCTTAGGATTACAAACAGAAAATAGGGTTACAAATCTCAGAGTGAACTGTAACGAACTTGTGGGACACGCCATTAATTCTGTCCTTGTCCCCTGCGCTGTTTTTGTGGGTTACGACGTGTTAATAAAACCTTAAACCTCGAAACTGAGGGAGACCCCAAGGTCACCCTCATAGACGTAACTCTCGAGTTATCGCTGCAGGGAACATGTAGGTGGCAGCGATAAGTCGCGACAGCAGCGAATTCGGGTGAATGGAGCTGTCCAATCAGATTGGCGATCAGTTCGTTGTAACCCAGGGGTTACCCACGAGCTTCGGGGGGGGGGCTCCACTTCAACATGGGTTCTTCGTCAGCTTGGAGCTCGAGACAAATTTCCACACAAGGTCGGCTTATTGTATATCGGTTACTACTCGTGTCAGATCATACACATGTTGTATGTTCATAATAATGGCAATAATATTTAAATAGAACTAAATCGTAAGAGTATATTCCAACGAAATAAATGCCTGCCAGTGTGCGTCGTTCGTTCAATAGAATTAACTGCCTCACAATATAGTTCCATGTAAGCACTTTTACGATTTTAGCTACGAGGGGAATACTCTAGGGCTAGCAATACGCAAAAAAAAACTAGCAGGTGTACTGTCATCTGTTGACAAGAAAAGGCCCCACCCTCGCTTAGGCGAAGCCGACTTCGCTGCCAAGTCCGCAAGATGTGCAGCTGTCCACGTTTCACTGTCGACGCCGACTTGGAAAGTGGAAGTCGACGAGATTGGTTCGTCGTCGTCGACTTCTTCGAGACCACAGCGAAGACGACGAGACGCTGGCCGACGAAGTGGAATCGGCGGGT